CACTTACTGGTATGGAGTGTGGTTCGTGATGGTTTAAATATTTATCCTGATATATTCTACCCTAACTTCTTCTAAACATACACTATATTGCCAAAAGTATTTGCTCACCCATCCAAATTATTGGAATCAGGTGTTCCAATCACTTCCATGGCCACAGGTGTATAAATTCAAGCACCTAGGCATGCAGACTGTTTTTACAAACATTTGTGAAAGAATGGGTCGCTCTCAGGAGCTCAGTGAATTCCAGCGTGGAACTGTGATAGGATGCCACCTGTGCAACAAATCCAGTCGTGAAATTTCCTCGCTCCTAAATATTCCACAGTCAACTGTCAGCTGTATTATAAGAAAATGGAAGTGTTTGGGAACGACAGCAACTCAGCCACGAAGTGGTAGGCCACGTAAACTGACGGAGCGGGGTCAGCGGATGCTGACGCGCATAGTGCGAAGAGGTCGCCAACTTTCTGCAGAGTCAATCACTACAGACCTCCAAACTTCATGTGGCCTTCAGATTAGCTCAAGAACAGTGCGCAGAGAGCTTCATGGAATGGGTTTCCATGGTCGAGCAGCTGCATCCAAGCCATACATCACCAAGTGCAATGCAAAGCGTCGGATGCGGTGGTGTAAAGCACGCCGCCACTGGACTCTAGAGCAGTGGAGACGCGTTCTCTGGAGTGACGAATCGCGCTTCTCCATCTGGCAATCTGATGGACGGGTCTGGGTTTGGCGGTTGCCAGGAGAACGGTACTTGTCTGACTGCATTGTGCCAAGTGTAAAGTTTGTTGGAGGGGGGATTATGGTGTGGGGTTGTTTTTCAGGAGCTGGGCTTGGCCCCTTAGTTCCAGTGAAAGGAACTCTGAATGCTTCAGCATCCCAAGACATTTTGGACAATTCCATGCTCCCAACTTTGTGGGAACAGTTTGAAGCTGGCCCCTTCCTCTTCCAACATGACTGTGCACCAGTGCACAAAGCAAGGTCCATAAAGACATGGATGACAGAGTCTGGTGTGGATGAACTTGACTGGCCTGCACAGAGTCCTGACCTCAACCCGATAGAACACCTTTGGGATGAATTAGAGCGGAGACTGAGAGCCAGGCCTTCTCGTCCAACATCAGTGTGCAACCTCACAAATGCGCTTCTGGAAGAATGGTCAAAAATTCCCATAAACACACTCCTAAACCTTGTGGACAGCCTTCCCAGAAGAGTTGAAGCTGTTCTAGCTGCAAAGGGTGGACCGACGTCATATTGAACCCTATGGATTAGGAACGGGATGTCACTTAAGCTCATATGTGAGTCAAGGCAGGTGAGCAAATACTTTTGGCAATATAGTGTACATTCACACATTCACACTTAAAAATATAAACATATTTGTGCACAGCTTTGTATATCATTCCTTCACTCACAAACACACTTACTATAATTAAATTCTATGGAATAATTTCGTTTTCTTTAGAAATCGAATAATTATTTTTATGTGTTTACTCCCTAAATTTTTCCTCAGTATATCTAATAAATTAACCTTCTCCTTAATGTCTTCAAACTCTCTTCTCATATATCTTCTCTCTTTTTCATATTTATGACATTCTAATATAACATGTTCTATGGTTTCATATTTATCACAGAAATCACATTTGCCCGTTTTATGTTTTTGTATTTTAAAAAGTGTATAATTAAGTCCTGTATGACCAAATCTTAACCTTGTTATCACTCTTTCCTCCTTTCTATTTCTTCTTCCATTTCTTCTTTCTCCTACTATCTTCTGAATTTTATAAAACCATCTTCCTGTTTTATCTTCATCCCACCTTTTTTGCCAAATTTCCATAAGTTTCTCTTTAATAATACTCTTTCCTTCTGATTTACTTATTTTAACTATAAAACTAATAGAATGTTTAATTGCCCTTTTTGCCATTTTATCTGCCCTCTCGTTTCCTTCCACCCCAATATGTGCTGGAACCCACACAAATGTAACTATCAGCCCCATGTTTCGTATTCTGAACAGTGTATGATTTATTTCTAATAAAATGTCCATCCTACTATCTGTTTGGTTATTTTTTAAACTTAACAATGCAGAGCTTGAATCTGAACAAATGACTGATTTTAACGGTTTTATGTCTTCTACCCATTGTAACGCTAATAATATTGCCAACATTTCTCCTGTGTATACTGATAATCCATCTGTAATCCGTTTTCCTATTTTTATATTGAATTCTGGTACTACAAATGCTATTCCTAGTTTCTCAGTTATTTTTGATGCATCGGTATAAATTTGAATATATTGATAATAACTGTCTAAATGTAACTGTACTAAATTGATATCTACCGTGTACGATTTATCTTGTTTCTTTTCCATTAGTGACATATCTACTGTTGCTTCTGGTAGAATCCAGGGAGGTATAATTGATATTGGTGTTGTTTGACTCATTTCTAAACTATTCATTTTAAATTTTTTTATTTTATTTTCAATTGTCCATCCAAAACTCCTCATTTCTTTCTTTTCTTTTTCCCAGCATGGATTTAAAATGTCCAAAGTTGGGTGATCCCCTTTATTTCCTTGTAAATTTAACCAGTAATTGATTTCTAATTTTGTTCTTCTTAAATCTAATGGCATTTCTCCCATTTCTATTTCTAATGCTGCTGTTGGTGTGGTTTTAAATGCTCCAGTACATAATCTTAGTGCCTGATGTTGGATAATGTCTAATTTGGTTAGATATGTTTTAGCTGCTGAACCGTAAACTAAACAACCAAAGTCTATGTTGGATCTAATCATACTTGTGTAAATCTGTTTTAGTGATTTCCTATCTGCTCCCCAGTCACTGCCAGCCAAACATCTCAAAATATTCAAGATTTTCTTACATTTATCAACAACTTTTTGTATATGTATATGCCATTTTAATTTTTCATCAACCCATAATCCTAAAAATTTTATACACTTTACCTGCTCTAACTCTTGTTTATATAATTTTAATTTTATTTCCTTGTTTATTTTTTTCTGAGTAAATAACATTACTTTCGTTTTATCAACTGAGAATTTAAATCCCCATTGCAACGCCCATTTCTCTATTTCAATAATAACCTTTTGTAATTTTTTAACAATAAAATCAACATTTTTCCCTCGTTTCCAAACAGGTCCATCATCTGCAAACAGTGAACACCCCATGTCTTTTTCAATATCTTTAAATACATCGTTTATCATAATTGAGAACAATAGTGGACTTATAATACTCCCCTGTGGAGTTCCATTTTCTACTTTATATTTTCCTGAGGTAGATTCTCCTATTCTAACTTGTATTTTCCTACCTGTTAAAAAGTCTATAATCCATTTAAATATTCTCCCTTTAATACCAATCTTGTATAATTTAATTAATAATCCATCCACCCACATCATGTCATATGCCTTTTCTATATCAAAGAATACAGCCACTACACTTTCTTTATTTACTCGTGCTCTTCTAATTTCGTGCTCTAAACAGAGCGTTGGATCATTAGTGCTCCTCCCTATTCGAAAACCACTTTGATATTTTGATATATATCCTTTACTATTTAGATAATATACTAGTCTATTATTAATCATTTTTTTCCATTATTTTACATAAATTAGATGTTAAGGCTATTGGTCTGTAGTTTTCTGGGTTTGAATGATCTTTCCCTGGTTTGGCTATTGGTATTATAATTGATTCCTTCCAGTTCAACGGTAATTTTCCCTCCTCCCAAATTTTATTATATAGTTGTAATATTATATCTTTAGATTTTTCACTAAGTTGCCCTATCATTCTATACCAGATTTGGTCTTTACCTGGTGCTGTGTTTTTTTGTCTTTTTAAGTGCATTGTTCAATTCCGTTTTTGTAAACTCAACATTTAACAAATTATTTGTTTCTTCAACGCTCTGTATAAAATCTTTATATTTAATTTTTGTATTTTCTCTACCTTTTCTTCCATTTTCACTAATATTATTTGAACTATGAATTTTACTAAATGTTCTTGCCAATATTTCAACTTTATCTTCATCTCTTATTATGTTTGTATCATCTATTTTTAGAACAGGATAGTCAAACTCTCTTTTAATACCATTCATTATTTTGATTACCTTCCAAATTTTTTCAATTTTTGTTTCTTTCCCTATCATATTACAGAATTTTTTCCAATATTCTCTTTTTGCATACTTTATAGTTCTCCTTACTATTGCTTGTTTTCTTTTATAATCAATTAAATTTTTATAAATTGGATTATGTTTGAGTGTCTTAAATGCTTTATTTCTTAACTTTATTGCTTCTTTACACTCATTTGTCCACCATGGAACCATTTTCTTATCATTTTTACTCCCTGATTTCTTTATAGAATTATCTGCTGCTTCCATTATTATTTTACCAATTATTAAATTTAAATCATTTATATCCATACTCATGTCTACTTTTTCTAAGTTTATTTGACTCAAATATCTAAATTTAGTCCAGTCAGCCTTATTAAAATTATACTTTTTCCCAATTTTAATATTCCTATTATTTAAATTTAGCCCTACTCTTACTATTATGGGGTAATGATCGCTACCTATTGTAGATTTTTTATCAATAAACCAATCACAAATACCAGCTAAAACATTTGAGACAATTGTTAAATCAATAACTGATTCCATCCCCGTTCTTATATTGATTCTTGTTCCCTTTCCATCATTAATACATACTAGATTTTTCATTTCCATTATTTCTTCTATAACTTGTCTGTTTTTATCATTACATTTACCCCACACTGTACTATTTGCATTAAAATCTCCACACCAAATTACCTTCCCTTCCAAATATTCATTTAACTCCTCCATTATTTCAATCGATAATGTTTTACATGGATTATAATAATTTATTATTTTTAATTTACCTTCTTTTTCCCATATCTCAATTACTACATATTCTAGTTCTTTCCCTTTCCCCAATATCTGATATTGTATTCCTTTTTTGATAAATAATGCACATCCTCCTCCACTTCCCTCTGCTCGATCTCTTCTTACACTATCATATCCTTTGATCACAAATTCTAATGTTGTTTTTAACCATGTTTCCTGAACACAAACAATTTCCGGTTGTTCTTCCAGCTCCTCAATATAACCTTTAAGTTCCTGTCCATTAGCGATTAAACTTCTAGCATTCCATTGTAGTATTAACATGAACCGTTTTCACCCGAAGGTCCTGGTCTCCCATCTTCCTCCAACTTTTTATTTATGTTCTCCCATGATCCCTCTTTAAATCCCAAAAACTTTTCAGCTCCTCTCACTATTATTTTAATCTTCTCAGTTTTGTGTTTGGCTTGGTCAGTGCAGTTGACAACATAAGCTATGAATAATATTAGTTTTTCCACTGGAATTGTGGCTTTTTCTTCTGTCTGTACTTTGCTTTGTTGTGTAGTTTGTCTCACTGTTTGTTTAATCTCTCTTGTTTCCTGTTCCTTCACATTCTTAACTGCTTCTGCATAGCTTATGTTTTTAGTTGTTTTAATCTGTACGATTTCTTTTGCACTTTTCCTTACTTCGCATCCTCCAAACGTGACTCTATGGTTCCCTCCACAGTTACAACATTTTTCTTGTTCTTCTTTACACTCTTCTAATTTGTGATCTTCTCCACATTTTGGGCATCTTTGCCTCCCTTTGCAGACTGCTGCTATGTTTAGTTTAGTTTAGTTTATTTAGGATCCCCATTAGCTGTAGCAAGCTACAGCTATTCTTCCTGGGGTCCAACAACAAAACATGAAATAAAAAAAATTACAAATGAAATAAAATTATGCGGACATTAAAACAACATCTCCCATAATCTATACATATACATACACACATATACAGATACATATATACATATACATATATACCCATATACATAAACAGAAACAATCCAAACTAATCAAAACAAACTACAAAGCACAGCAAGTGAAGAAGACTGTCCTAATCATGTTTTACCTCTATATTTAATAAATGTTCTTTCAATGATTTTTTAAATTTCCTTAAATCAGTTATCAGTTTAATGTAATTCGGCAGTAAATTCCATGCTTTCATACCTCTATACATAACAGTTCTTTTTAAGGCATTTGACTTTACTTTAGGCAAACTAAAGTTTCCTTCAGTCGCATGCCTAGTCCTGTATTCGTGATTCTCTGAACTAAAAGTAAGGTTTGTAAATAACATATAAGGTGTTTTTAATACAGATATGTTTCTAATCATAACAGTCAATGAGTATGAAAGTCTGTCTTTAACCAACAACCAGTTTAATTTTTTATGCATTGTTATGATATTTGTCCTTAAATCACACTTCAATATTATTCGGGCAGCTCTATTTTGTACATGTTGTAGTTTATTTAGCATCTCTCCAGGGGCATTTGACCAAACGACTGGGCAGTAATCCAGTTGAGAAAATATCAATGATTGGATTATCATTTTAAGAATATTTGGGGACATAAAGGTTGCATGTCTTCTTATGACTGTGATTCCTCTACCCATCTTTGCAATCATGTTATTAATATGTTTTCTCCATAATAACGTGTTATCCACCGTCACTCCCAGAAGCTTGGACTCATGCACATTCCTTATCGAGACGTTATTGATATTAATATTCAATATATGATTACTGTTTACGTTGTAATTTGACCTCACAATCATGCTGTTAGTTTTTGCTGTATTCAATACCAGCTTATTTGCTTTCACCCATTTATCCACTCCCACTAGTTCGTTATTCATAATAATTTCTAATTCATTATTTGTTCTTGCTGATGTATATATAGTGGAATCATCTGCATACATAATTATTTTAGTTCTTTTGAGTATGTATGGTAAGTCATTTGTAAATATTGAAAATAATAAAGGACCCAGGCAGCTCCCTTGAGGTACACCACATGTTACAGTTTGTTTTTCAGAAAATGCACCATTAAAATATACCGTTTGTGACCGGTTAGTTAAATAACTGTAAAACCAAGTAAGTGCAGATTGTTCAAAACCATAGCAGGAAAGTTTTTCTAATAGCAGATGGTGGTCAATTAAATCAAAAGCAGCTGAAAAATCTAGAAACACAACTCCCACCATATCTTTCATTTCAATACTCCTAAGCCAGTCATCAGACATACTAATTAGTGCTGTTGCTGTAGAATGAGCCTTTCTATAAGCATGTTGAGAGTGACAAATTATGTTATTAATCGACAGATAATTATTAATTTGTTCATATACTATGGTCTCTGTTATTTTTCCTAACACAGGCAGTAGACTTATCGGACGACTATTTGAGCTGGAAAAGGGCAGTTTCTTATTTTTCTGTAATGGGATTATTTTGGCTGTTTTCCAGGCTTGTGGACACACTGAAGACATAAAACTTAAATTAATAATGTGAGTAATTACAGGAGCGATTTCATCAGCAACCAATTTGAGAAGTCTGACATCCAGTTCATCAACACCCGGTGGTTTATCTTTGCACTTTTTCAGGCAATCCTTTACCCTCTGCAAGTTAACCATTTCTAATTTAAACTTGGACCTTTTCCCTTTCATTATTTCATTTCTTATTAATAAGTGAGATATTTCATTACTTAGGTTAGGCATATTTTCTCTTAGTTTTGCTATTTTACTAATGAAATAATTATTTAAATAATTAGCAATTTCTCTAGGTCCAGTTATGAAGCCATCATTTGTCTCAAGAAATAATGGATGCGTTCCATTCCACATTTTTTTGCAATCATTCCCCGCCTTCTTTACTCTATCTTCATAATAATTCTTTTTTTTCTTTTTATTTAGCTTGGTCACAGCGTTTCTTGCTTTACTATAGAGGCACCAGTCTTCCTTATTCCCAGTTATAATTGCAGTTTTTTTCATTTGGTCTCTCATTTTCATAGCTTCTTTCATTTCTTTGTCCAGCCAGGGTGTTTTCGATGTTCTGACGGTAAACCTTCTCAAAGGTGCATGTTTCTCAATCACAGGTAGAAATAAATCATCAAACTTTGACAGTGCAAGCTCAGGATTTCTTTCAGTCAACACTTTAGACCAACATATTTCTCTCACATTGTCAACAAAAGAATAAGGATTGAAAGATGCATATGATCTCTTAAAAATTATTGTAGGTCCTTGCCTATCTACCTTATTGTTTTTTTCTACTATAATCAGATTATGGTCACTGCTTCCAATAGGGACCGATGATATCTTGTTAACTGTTTCTGGAGAGTTTGTAAAAATGTGATCAATACATGTAGCTGTTTTAGTACCATCTTGTTTTACACATATTCTTGTTGGCTTATTCATAATTTGATCAAATCCACCTGCATTAGCTCCAATTTGTATCTTATTCTTCAGTGGACAGTTATGAGCAAACCAGTCAATGTTAAAATCTCCAAGTAAATAGACATCCAGACCCACATTCATATTAGCTAACATTTCACAGATTGTGTCAAGATATTCATTGTTAGAACTTGGAGGTCTGTAACAGCAGCCTACTAGTATAGGCTTTCTGTGAGGAAAATAAACTTGTAACCATAATATTTCAATATTATATTTCATCATGTCAGTACACATTTTCACAGGTAAATGATCTTGAATGTAAAAAGCTACTGTCCATATCTTTGGCATTTGAAACACCGAAGTGGTGGAGGTACATATGGTCTGACCTGAAAATTGAGGTATCCTATTTTGATGTTTTTTGGCAGCTCTTCATCTTCAAATTCAATAAGGATTGACAAGCTTCCTACTCTTTCTCCATTCACTGTTTTTGATAATCTTTTCAAGTTGTTCACCTTTGCACCCACAACACTTCTCTTGATTTTATCAAGATCTTCATCAAGAGGGATCCCATAAATCACTCCTCTAATTTTTTTATTTTCTCCCATGATTTTTTTCTCCAGAACAGTTCTTTTGCAGATACTCTCCACATTTAAAGCCTTATTCTTTTGTTCTATATCTTTACATATCACCAATAGGTTTCCGTCTCTCAAAATCTTTACCATTTCAACATCTCCAATTTTCTTTTTTATTTCTCTTGATACCACAATGGGACTGATTTTATCCTTTTCTTCCTCATTTTTAAGTTTTAATATTACTTTAAATTCCTCCCTCACAACTTTCCTCCTAACCACCCTTTCTTCTTCTGAGCTACTTCCTTCCAACTCCCGTTTATTACCTTGACTGTCACCTTTTCCCCTTCCTTCATCAGTTTTATTTCTTCCACGACCTCTCCCTCTCCCTCTTCCCGCAGGCGTCCACCCTTCAAAATCCTCGTCTTCCTCATTTCCTATCTCCATTTCCATCCGAACCATTCACATACCAGTTTATGCCAATCCGCCTTCTCACAAGTGATGTTTTGAATTTTTCCGCGTCCAACACAAACGTTCACCACACGTGCTCAACCGCTCGCGAGACCGTCCTTTCCACAGTTTTACCAGCAGGTGGCGATAAAGTACCACAGCGTTGTTCACCTGCTTCCAATGAAGCCCTGAAGGAGATGAAGTTTGCTTTAGTTTCCGGGTGTGCTGTTGTGACGTCCGTTGTTGTGAATTCGGGTTTAGTTCAGTCGTCGATACATCCACCTCATCCCTGGAAAGATTTAAACCCAGCGAGCAGCGGAGAGGCTGACGTTCAGCCTCCGGGTCCAGTTTTCAGGTCGGTGTTTTTTCCTCTCACTATTCAAACGGTCAAACTCTGGGAACATGCTAGTACTGGTCGCCTTTAATGCTAGTGGATCTGAGCTGGATATGAACACACTTGTTTGCTTGCATTCACATCAGAACAGTTGTTTCTGAGGTTTACTGCTGTCTAAAGAGATTATCTCTGTGTTCATGTATCAATGGTGAGCTAATAACTTCTGGTATGTCGACATAATCTTAATTCATTTCATGTTGAGCTAAAATCTCATTTCAAAAGGCTCCTTAAACACTTTGAATAGACTGCTTATTAAGGTAACAGAGGCACGAATGTACACTTTTTATGATTTAAAAAAATGTGAAGGTAGTGATAATCCAACAGAATTGAATTGTGCAGATTGGACTCTCCTAGCATAGAGTTAGGGTGGCCATTTCTATAGCACCAAAAAGGAGGACATTGTGCGGCATATCAATAAATTACTAAGGTGTACATAAGAATCGGGTAAAGTCACATTTATAGTACAATTCTTAGTAGTTTAAAGAGGATGCTTGTGTAGCTGAATAGAACAAAATATTAAAGAAATGTAAAAAAGAATTGGTTCCCAGCATTTGTATTTATTTAATACATTGTGGTGTTTAAAAAGTGACAATTTTTTAACACGATTAATTTGCGCAGAACTGCTGCAATTGATCATAAAGCAGTTATTTGGAAAAGAAGCTCGAGAAAGAGCTAGAGAATAGGACGATGCAAACTGCAAAAAGTGGATGGAAAAGAGGAATTCATGACATGGCTGCAGCGTGTCGAGAGTAAAGATGATTTCACCATGTTCTCTATCTATCCATATCTATATATATATATATATATATATATATATATATATATATATATATATATATATATATATATATATATATAAACTTGAGTCATGGAACTGTGCTTACAGCTCCTTATTTCATATAAACTAATAACTTGTGTACATGATACTTGTTGATGGCATTAAAATTATTTCTAATAGCATTAAAAGAGCATTAAATTAGAGTTCCTCATTCCTGTATAAAACCTGTGAACGCTTAATTTAATCTGACATATTAAAAAAATCCCCATCATCATCCAGCAGATGTTCAGTTTCTGCCCAAATATTTTCTTTCTGTTGTGAATTTTTGTAACAGGGATAACTAGGATCATACATAGTTTGTATGAACTCTGTTTATTCTCTGCTTCCAAACTCATCATCTCTTCATCCATTCCTGCAATAAGAATTTTCTTTTAAAGTTGTGAGATTCACTCTAGAATCTCACAACTTCTTCCTGGTCTGTTGAAGCACCAATAGTCTGCATCCAATTATTTAATTAATTGCTCATAGTTTTTGGGAATATATACAAACTATGCTCTAATTTCTAGATACCGATCTGTTTTTACTATAATTTAATTTGACAAACCGGGTCTTCTCTACATTCTTTTTTCTGTTTGGTGCGATTGCAATAGCGGGTCTTGATCTGGACGGACCGGAGGGGAGCAAAAAATAGCTCAGCTCCGTATTTTGACGGTGAAGGACGGAGAAGACGTACGTGGGCGGTGACGAGCGGAGGATGTGGAACAGCTCTCATTGATTTACATGACAGACAAGTACTCCGTACGTGAGCGGGGTGGAGCGCTGACGGAGTATGTGGAATCTGGGGGTAAAGGAGGACAAATACACGTCCGGCTGGGTGCAGCGCCGGACGCCGGACAGTGCAATGAAAATCCGGACTGTCCGCCCTAAAGCCGGACATCTGGCCACCCTACATAGAGTTGATCTGCTGACTCCACATCTTCCACCTCTGCTTTCTGCATGCTAAACCTCTACTTCTAACTACTGTTGCACCGATGCCATTTTTTGGCCACCAATACCTGGCTGTGCAGTATCGGCTGATACGATACAATTTGTTTGAAATTGATGTTTGTGTGTATATATATATATACAGAACTGCATCCTACTTAGATGTAAAATAATTACCATCATGGCTTTGTCAAGCTGCTGCCTACCTTTGTGAAGCAGGAAAAAGACTAAAACAAAGTGAATCCAGTAGAACTTTTTTATTGCCTACCTGGAATGGGTGACAATAGTTGAATAAACTTTGGCTCTCAAAATGGTATCGGTATTTGTTGGTACTCACCGATACAGATACCACCATTTTAGTGGTGGATCGAGGCGCCACCCAATTCTGGTAAATGGAAATCAATAAATGAATGCAACAAAAAAACATTAGCAAAGTCGGTCCTCTGTCACCTAAAGTGCATCTCCAGGATTAAAGGACAGTGTCTCGCCAGGGCCGTGGAAAAAACAAATGTATCTTTAGTAGAATTGATCACCGTAGGGTTGTTTTTAATGCTCGGGCTACAAAGTGGATCAGAAAGCTGCAGCTGATCTAGAATGCTGCTGCTTGCGTCCTCACTAAAACTAAGAAAATAGAGCACATCAGCCTAGTTCTGAAGTCCTTCCTCTGGTTCCTCGTATCTCACAGAACAGAATTCAGAACACTGTGAATCAGTGAATGGTTTAGCTCCAAAATACAACACAGACTTGTTGTCATGGATAAATGGGCAGACTTCTCAGCTCTACCAGATCTATTCTACAACTAACACCCAAAACCAAACACGGAGAAGCAGCTTTTATTTCTTATGCTCCACTTATCTGGAATAAAATCCCAGAAAACTGTAAAAGTGCTGAAAGCCTAAACTACTTTAAATCAAAACAGGTTTACTATCAAAATTAAAGGCCTTTGACTGGTTTATCTAAACATTGTTAGTTATGTTTTCACTCCCAACTTTCCATTTTATTTAATTTTTTTTATCAATTTTATCTTTTTTAATGTAATCATGTTATTTTAATGATTTTAATATATTCTCTTTAATTATTTGTGTTGCCTTTATGCTGCTTTAGTGTCATGTACAGCCTGCTGATATGCTTAATAGATAAACTTGCCTTGATGTCTGTGCTGTAGGAGGATCACTGCAGAGGTTCAGTGTTAACCTGCGTAGCAGAATCGCTGAACTACATTTAAAAATAAAGAAAAATTTTGATGTTAAATATTGGATTTCATGTGGGTTTCAGGTGATACTTGATGGGCCAGCTGTTGATGCTTTGCTAACATACAGAGAAACATGGCCAGCAACTTCCGGAGCTACATCTGGGACCCCGTCCTCATTATATGTCAGATCGTACTGATGCAGTGCATCTACTACAGTTTCCTTGGCCTGTGGTTGGCTGGAGTGGACAGCCTTGTGCAGAATGGCCGGTCACTTGATCAGATCTTCAGCTATGAAGTGAGTTGGGGAATCCTTCATCTGTTCCATCATTTCTCTCTCCGCTCTTGAACCTGCATTCTTTTTATGTTTGCTCTTTTTCCACAGGTCCTTGGTTTTGCGACGATGCAGGGCAGGCTGTCAATGATGGCCTTCATCTTGAACTCTCTTACCTGGTGAGAATTAGCTGTATTCTTTAGCACATTTAAAGGGACAGAGACATTAGGAGGTGTTGTCGGAAAATTTTTATTTCTCTTCTATTATATATTAATTTATCCTATTTACTCACTATAAAAGTTTTCACTCAGTCTGTTTCTCTCTCAAGGCCACACAATTTTCTGCGGGATGGTGTTTGTAGACCAGACATAGCTTCTTCCCATAACAAACCAGATTCTTTCTCAAGGTTTATTCTTTCTGAGGTCACCTCAGATCCTTTACCCCGGTACAGGGCGGAACTGACACCTGCTCATGTTTATCTATTTGTAGAAATGACCAAAAAACAAGCACATGGTGTTTCATCCACACGCCTTTCAAATGGGGCTTTAAAATTTTCAGGTGGACTTTCTCACTTTTTACCCACTTATCACAGTAAATATAGCTGCCATTGTTCCAGGCAAAGAAAGGATAGGATAGCTCCGCCCAACGTGCATCGGACCCAATTTTTAACCGCGCAGCCAGAGCAGCAAAGATGCTTCAGCCGCGCGTCAGAACTAAACTTGTACAAGCATCAAAAATGAAGCAGAACACGCGTTTTTGTTGTTCCTGCTGCTTGCAGTGTGAACGTAGCATTGGAGGTACAGGTCATCAATGATTGGTAACAAAAGAGCACACATTTTTTCATGAAAATCAGCTGCTGACGATCGCCTCTAGATGTAACCTTTCCTCTAAAACACTGAGCCTCCATCCTCTATCCTCTCTCTACCTGCCTATGTTTCTGTCACTGTCAGTCTCTGTTTTTAACATGAATGGTTGAAGAGTCTCCTTTGTGTTCAACATATAATCATTCTGCAGCTTTTTAAAATTCTACCAGGCTTTAAACCTGGTAGAATTTAGTTGTTTTTAGTTTTTTTTTTTTTTTATTTCATATAGCCTACAGTCTCTTTGAGGGACATGTCATCTGAGCTACAAGCTAATGCCAGCATCCTTCTGTTCCGGCAGCGCTCTCGGGTTGTGGTTCTTCATTCGTCGAGGGAAGCAGTGCCTGGACTTCACCGTCACCGTTCACTTCTTCCACATGATTGGCTGCTGGATCTATAACTCCCACCTCCCCTCGGCTCTCTCCTGGTGGCTGGTCAACGTGGCCTGCATCGCGCTGATGGCCGTCATCGGGGAGTACCTGTGCATGCGGACTGAGCTCAGGGCGATTCCAGTCAATACTGGACCTAAATCCAACCTGTGAACTCTTTCTCCTGTTTTATTTAGTTTTTTTGAGACACGAGGAACTCAATGCGAAGAGTAAACCTTCATAAACGGACAGACTGAAATGTTATGAATCC